AAAACCGTCTCTTTCAGAGTCTTGTTGTCCTGGGTGATCCGAGTCATTCCCTCTTCCAGGGAAGAAACGGACTCCCGCAGAGACGCGTTCTCAGCGGCGAGCCGCTCCACCTGCTCCTGGCTGAACTCCAGAGACTGACGGAGGTTCTGAAACTCCTGGTGTAGAACCTCAAGCAGATGAAGACGCCCCTCAAATCCCAGAAGCCGTTTATCTATAGAATCCAATAATTTTAATATGTCCTTACGGGGAGATGAGGCCTCAGGCGAGTCCTGAGGATGGCTCCTCTTTGTCCCAGGTGTTTCAGGCTCAGCCGCTGATTTCTTCGGACCCATAACGAACAACTCAAAAACTTCGTCAATATAATTTAGCAAACTTTCAAAATCTTCTTCACTTACCTCCAGATTGAGTGAGTTATACTTACCAGATTACTTTTTGCATTGTCAGTAAACAAATTAGGCAAAAATATGTCTTAATTGTTTGTGGATGTTTGTTAACGAGCTGCCATCAGCTTCAAACGCTGCCGTGTATCCGGTGATCGACCGTCAGCGCATGCTCAGCGCATGCTCAGCTCCTCCTCAGCGCATGCTCAGCTCCTCCTCAGCGCATGCTCAGCTCCTACTTGTTTAAAAACTTTTAAAATGATCAGCCACTCCAATTTACAATTAATTCAGTACAAGATTCTACACAGAGTACACTATACAGGTCATCGGATGTTCAAGATGGGGTGTGTGTCGTCTGAAACCTGTACACACTGCACAAACTACATTCCTGACAATTACATTCATGCACTGTGGTCCTGTCCACCTGTCCAGGAATTTTGGGGTAGAGTATGTGAAGACCTGTCAAAGTCTCTGAAATGTCATATCCCAACCACCCCCTCTCTTTGTTTACTGGGAAACCTGGACGATGTCCTGATTGAAACATCTTTGGTTCACGTGGTTCTGACTGCCATATGCATCGCTAAGAAAACTATCCTCTTGAATTGGAAAAATAGAAAAACTCTCTGCATTAACCAGTATAGAAATATTTTGTTAGATCATATTACACTTGATTTAGCCTCTGCTTCCACTTCAAATCAATCTCTCTGGGCTCCTTTGATCGGTTCCATCACATAACGATGATGGGGGACCGTTGATGTTGTCCTGCGGGATGATGTGGGTGGGGGTGGTGGAGGGTCTGAGTTTGGAGTATCCAGATGTTCCCTGGAGGTGGGTTCACTGGGGGTGTCTGGGACTGGGGGGCCGTTGCCCCCCTCTGGAGGTGCATGGGTTGCCTCGGGGGGTGGACTACTGGCGGTTGTGAGTGGGGCCCCTTGGAGGCCTTGGCGGCGGCCATGGGTCACTGCCTGGCGGCTGCTTTGGCCCTGGGCGGCCCCGTGTAGGGATCTGGGTGGGGCCTTGGGGGTCGGGTCCTGACATGTACTGTATGCTGCCGGTAGGAAGGCAGGAACATGCAGCAGTACCTGGCCCGGGTTCAGGGACCTCGGGTAGACCTTGGCTCCTCTGCTCTCCCATCACACGGGAGGGGGAGGTCCAGGAGGGGGAGGACCCAACCTTACCTAGATGTCCTATGTCATATATATTCTGGAAAAGGTGCAAATACAGGGATGGGCATAGATATTCTGCTGGGGTGGGGCTGGGGTGGTGCCCTCGGACTCCGTGAGGCTCTGTAATGCTGTTGCTTTGGGCCCTGGCAGGATGGGCTGGGGTCTCCATGCCCTGGGCGGCAATTTGACAACAGAGGTGCCTATTGGGGCCAGTGGGGGAGCTGGCTCCCTGGAGGGCTAAGCCCAACCAGCCATTCCTCCCCATCCCTGCATATTTCTCTCCTCCTGCTCCCTCACATCATCACGCAAACATGCACATAGGACCTTGGGGGCTGGACAAGTCAGGGAGTGCGGGTATGGACCCCATTTCCGCATTACTGTGGCAACCTGCCCCCCAATTTTATTTGCACCTTATACACTTCCACCGATGACATTCCACGCAAACACACACTTAGGGTCTTGGGAGTGAGCACATTCAACGGCACATGGCAGGGGGATTTCTCAGCCTCCTCCCGAGTGCCGGTGCCCACTTCCAATTTTAAACCGCTCTTAGACACCGAGGGCTGTGGGTGCAAGTGGGGTGGTGCGGTGGCATCAGCTGGCATAGGCAGCTGATGCCACTGCCCGCTCACCACAGCCATGGAATACACCTCATGAACACACAACACTATATTGGAGCAGGTGGAGGGAGACTAGGGGTCTTAGCACACCTCTGTTGTTGCTTGGCTTCCTGGGGCTGGAGGCTAGGAGGGAGATCTGGCTGTCTGGTTGGGGTCTGGGGTGGTGGGTTGCTGTGCTCAGCATTGGGCGGGGGAGCCTGCTCATCAGCACCCCAGCAGAAAGGGTCAAACTCTGGTAACCGGTGATGGTTGTACCCCATGTGCAGCAGTACCGGGACCAGAGTGAATAGGGTGAATAGGGGAGCATGAGTGGATGGCCGGCGTGCATTTTTGTAAATCTTTGGTTGTATGTGCATGAGTGAGCATGAGGGAGGGAGTGTGTGACTGTGTTTGTGTGTGACTGTATATGTCACGTGGGGCCTTTGACTCCTCTCCTCTCCTGGGACTTCTTTTGATGATATAGATCTTCGTCTCCTCTCCCCTTGCCACACCTGGTGTGGGGTATGGTGCCTTGGTCTGCCTGAGTGTTCGTGGCTCCCGGGTCAGGGGGTTTAAGATTTTTGGCGTCTGCCTGATCAATCCCGGTGGCAGCCTTGTGGGGTCTAAGTCCCTGGGCTCTGCTGGGTCCCCGGCGGGGGTGGTCGCCCCTGGGTCCCGGGTCGCATGGTCCCGGGCTCGGCCGGCTAGGAGGTGGGAGGCTGCGGGCGGGCCTGAGGACTTGCCAGTGATGCCTCCCGGGACTCTGCCGGCTGCTGGTTGTGGCCCCCCGGGGCGATCCTCTATGGCTCTCGAGGGGGGCCAGGGCCTTTCTGGTTGCAGTCTCCTTGGGGTTCCTGTGTTCTGGGGCAGAGCCTGGATCTCTGGGACTTGGAGCTCCCCCCATCTCCTACGCATCTTTGGGGGGCGGATCTGTGGTCCCTCGCACTCTCTATTGGACGCTCCTGTAGATAAACCTTACATAAACAAGCGTGTGTACACACACAGGTGCTCACATGGTGCTCTCAAAAGTATGGGCTTGGGCACGTTAAACACATGTCTTAAGGCTGTCGTTGCCACTACATGCACTATGATTTATTATCGTGTGATTGCTCAGTTAAACAATGTTGATTTTATATTTCATCATCAGGTTAACGCAGTGATAGCTTGCTCCTGATGTATTGTTGTGTCCCATTTTTTTCTCTTTCTGCAGGTCTAGAAGCAGACTCTTGTTAATTATTGTTTATTTTTGTGGAAACCCCCCACCCCCTTCCCCCATATCTCCCCACCATTTGTCTTTTCCTTTCTCTTTCACCTCTGACTCCGTGTCTTGTCGGAATTGCAAAGCATTCAAAAACAATAACAATAAAGTTTTAAGTATCAGGCGTGACATTAAAAGCAGATGCTTTGATGCTCCACCTGAGAGTAAATCTGTAAGGCTTGTTACCATCATTCAGACATCAATTCTGTTTGCTTCACAGCCAGACAGGACACGGTAAAAAAAAAGGGAGAAAAAAAAAGAAAAAAAAAGACAAATGTGAGAGACCACTTTATTTATTTATTTATTTTTAATTGCCTCCAAATGTTTATAGCTATAGTTGGACAGTTGTTAAGAGGCATGAAAAAATGTTTAAAACCAAACTTCTTGTAGTTCCAACAAACAAAAAGAAATAGTCAACAGATAGCAAAATGTCTGGGTTTCACAGTCTGCTGAAGCCAGGCTGCCACGGTAGCTTCAGGTGTTGTGTGGAGAAAAGTGAGCCTGCCCTGTTGCAGGAATGTGCATCACTTAATACAGCCACATAATGAGGACATTGACTATTAAAAATCTGAGCGACGAGGCTACTTTTAAATACATTCACAACATTTACACATTTTCTTATCAATTTACATCTTAAACAAGTGATGTTTTAGTCCATTAAAACAAGAAAATGACATAAATACATAAAGAAAGAAATACCTAATAAATAATAACCTGACTCACTGACCCCTCACACTGCCGCCATTCTCGTCCACAGCCTCGTCACCTCCCGTATCGACTATTGCAATTCACTTCTTTATGGTCTCCCCAACAAACTCCTTCATAAACTGCAAATGGTCCAGAATTCAGCAGCCCGTATTATCACCAGAACCCCTTCCTTTCACCACATTACCCCGTTTCTCCAGAAGCTTCACTGGCTCCCAGTTAAATTCAGGTCCATCTTCAAAATTCTCCTCCATACCTTCAAAGCTATCCACAACCTCTCTCCTCCATATATCTCAGACCTTATAAGTATTCACACCCCATCCCGTTCACTCAGATCTTCTTCTTCCATCCATCTTGCGGTTCCTTCTGCCCGTCTCGCTACCATGGGGAGCAGAGCTTTCAGCCGCTCTGCTCCCCGTCTCTGGAACTCACTTCCCCCAGACATCAGGAACATCGACAGTTTTACCCTTTTCCATTCAAAACTCAAAACACACATGTTTAAATCTGCTTACAACCTCTGATTTTATTGAACTGTTTCTCTCTTTGTTTTTTCTTGTTTGGGTTTTATTATTGTTTTATTGTATTTTATTACGTGTTTTCTGTAAAGTGACCTTGGGTGTCCTGAAAGGCGCTTTGAAATAAAATGTATTATTATTATTATTATTATTATTATTAATAAAAAAACTAAAAGGACAACTTGAATGTGTTCTTCTTTGTAACTTCTTATTCTAATGTACTGCTGAAGTATCCGATTGGGACTCGGATCAGAGCAGAAACATATGATCGGACCATCGCTAGTGGAGGTGTTTGGATTTGTCTCTCACTTTGATGCAACTCTTCCCAGCTGATGACCAGGTTGTCACATCAGGTCTTCTTTCGGTTTTGTTTTTAGATATCTGTGACATTTGCCATAGTCTTTGGAGTGATCCTGTACCGCATCAGCATTAAGGCAGCGCTGCACATCAGCACCTACCCAGCAGCGCGGTCCAACATCCGAGCCACTGTAAAGACTACTGCCGCAATCATTAACCTTATCGTTATCATCATCCTGGATGAAATCTACGCCGCCATTGCACGCTGGCTCACCATACTGGGTGAGTCTGAACTGCTAGCTGCTTGGTTAGGGTAGGGTGAGGTTAGCCTCCACCTCGTTCTCGTGTCTCACATGTCCATCACAATTGAACTACTGGTCTGGTTTGGTTTCTAATATCTGGATTCTGTGTGGTCTCCTTTTCAGAGGTCCCAAAGACAGATAAGAGTTTTGAGGAACGTCTCATTTTTAAAACCTTTATCCTAAAGTTTGTCAACGCCTTCACGCCCATTGTGTACCTGGCCTTTTTCAGGGGCAGGTAAGAAGAGTTTTGGTATTGGTGATTGGAGGGATCTGTTCTCATGGAACTGATGACTGTGTGTTTCCAGGCTTGTTGGAAGACCTGGGAACTACTTGTATGTTGTTGGATCGTACAGAATGGAGGAGGTAATTCAGTTCCACCTGATAACTTAAGTCAGACAGCTGTGAGTTACGCTGTAACTCATCCCTCTGTTTGAGCACATGACAAATGAAGGGAACCACTTTTCTGTCACATTATGAGCTGGGCGCTGTATCCCTCTGACCTCACATTAATCTGTTTATTTCTTAATACTCTGTTTGTGACACAAATCTTGTCGTCTCCAGTCGGAGCTCATAAAAGAACAGATACATCAACTCTGCTGTTAGTCAGGTACTGCTGAAGCAGTCTAATCCTAAATACTCCACTCATCCTTCTGCAGATGAAAGTCACCTAAAACAGTTCTCTGTTTAAACACAGATTTCTGTTGTTTGTGTTTTGATCTTTATGAAAATCAAACAGAAATGATCCTGGTTGGGAGGAACAGACCGGTAAAGCTGCTTCCAACCCCCAGCCTGCTGAAACATCTGTGGAACACACACAAACGCCTCTAAAGCTGAACAGATCAGAGGATCAGGGCCAAACCATACCTCTTCAGTAACACCAATAAGTAAACATCACCTAGTTTTAGCTTGTACACTCCCAGTGCTCCCCACTTGCCCATTGATCTGCCTCTTTGATTCACGTTTTAGCACGTGTGACATTGTGTTTCCTGCAGTGCGCTCATGCCGGCTGCCTCATGGAGCTCTGTATCCAGCTGTGCATCACCATGCTGGGGAAGCAGCTGATCCAGAACAACCTGTTTGAGATCGGCATACCGTGAGTGCTGATGACACACACCATACAAGTAACTCCTCACAGGTCAGAGTATGTGGGTTTAGCAAATGACAGAGTATATTAAAACACCCACTCAGGCGTACTGCCATCTGAGACGAGTCAGAATCATGTCTGTCTGGTTTTCATGCTCTTATCTGCTGATAAGAACACTTGGAACTTCTCTCTCCTGTCCTCTCTGTTTGCAAACTGAACAGGTTTTTTTCATTTTTTCTGAAACAGGTAGAAACACCCAGCATTCAGGATGTGACTCTGAACTACTCTAGTACTTACAGCAGGACAAAAATATTAAGTCAGCCACCAATTGTGCAAGTTATCCCACGTACAAAGATGGGAGGACTGTAATTTTCATAATAGGTATACCTCAACTTTAGAGACAAAATGAGGCATAAGAAATCTAGAAAATCACTAGGGCTGTAGCGACGCATCGATGACGTCGACGGCTCGATTCTAAAAATTTGTCGTCGTCAGATCCGGAAGTCGACGCACCGCGCCCACTTGTTGCAGCCCCAGGAGTTTGTAAATAGAGGAGGAATCTGCCTGTTTTTCCTCTAGTTCGCCCTCTTCTCCGCCTTCACTAACATCTCGCCAAATACCGAAGACCCGGAACAATGTCCGTCCACTACTAGATTATTTTCCTGTTTTGCCCGCCTTCGTCTCCCGGCAACGGACAACAACTTCCGGGGTCAGATGCGCTGTTTCGTCTCTACCGCAGATGTAGAAAATCACCGGGAGCGTTTCTCCCTTCATAAAGGAGCTTCTTTCGGACATCAGGAGAGCTGTTTTGGTGGTAGCAGTCTCTCCTCCGTGCTGGTCTGTTTGCTGCTGGGTGTTTTTGGTTTATTTAAACTTGGTAACTTGAACTTAATGTTGGTAAAGCTACTGTTAGCATTTTCGCTAACAGCTTCTTGCTTTTGGATCAGCTGTTATGTTTTGGTTTAGAGTTCATCTTTTTTGTGGTGCAGATCTCCCTTTTATTACATTTAGAGTGTTGTGGGTTTTCGGTTTAGTTTAAAATATCACCTTGAGTTTGGTTTAACCACCCAGTTTAGAGTTTGGATCCCTACTTATTTGTACTTTGTTTTAATTCCCCACAGGCAGAATTAGTTTTATTATTCCCAACCTGTGGATGGAAAGATTTATGATTTTTGTTGTTGTAAATAAACCTGATCATCATTTTAACTTTTAAATCCCGTTATTGTCCCTTCCTTTTTGCGCACGAGCCAAACTCCCCAGGAAGAGTCGTAACACCACTCCCCTCCCGCACATAAGTGACCAAAACAAAGCAGCATGGAGACACTCCATCTTCTACCACCTCTCAGGCAGCAGCCTGCACTCCCAAGATCTACACGTCATCAGAACATAACCAACCGCAACACAATAAAAGCAGTGTTATACAAAATGGAAGGCCCGTAGTGTTTATCCTCTCAGTAAGAATTTATCAATTTTTTTGATGAATTTATTTGAGATTTTCTGGTTTTTGTTAATTGTGCAATAGAAAAATAATCATTAGATTAATTTTCTAAATAGTCATTAGAATAGTCGACTATTCGATAAAATAATCGTCAGAATAATCGTTTTAAAAATAATCGTTTACCCCCAGCCCTAAAAATCACATTGTCTGATTTTTAAAGAATTTATTTGCTAAATAGTGCTGGAAAATAAGTATTTGGTCTCCTACAAACAAGCAGTTTTTCTAGCTCTTCTGTAAGAGGCTCCTCTGTCCTCCACTCGTTACCTGGAATATTGACACCTATTGGAACGTTAGTTACATATTGTAACCCCAGATTCTATGAGTCTAGCCACAGCCCTTAAGCTAGTTGCTATTGGAAGGGTGATCTCAGCATCAGCCAATCATGAAGAGCTTAAATGTACGCCCACCAATGGTGGGCACCCCTGTGGGTATATAAGTGGAGCGACTCCACTGTTCGCCTCCGATTGCTCTCGGTCCTAAAAGAACCAGTGGTGCTTAAGGGCTGAGACTAGACTCATAGAATCTGGGGTTACAATACGTAACCAACGTTCTATTTATGGGCCATTCCCATCTGTACCGGGTCGGCCCGGGCCGGGTAGCCCCAGTCGGCCTCAGCCTGGCCCGGTTGATTCCACACATCCTTGCCTTAAGCCCATGTGGGCTGATTCTACCCACCAATCAGAGGCTTGCTCTAATGGAAGGTGTGAATTTGCTGACAGCAGTGGGTGTGTTGGCCCTGGTCGGCCTGAAGCAGACCCCTTCGAGAAGAGGGCTGAGAATGAGCCTTGGTTGGCCCGGAAAAATACCAGGCCACCCAGATATGTAAACAACCTACGCTACCCGGCCCGGGCCAACCCGGTACAGATGGGAATGGCCCATTAGTCTAGTCTTAGCCCTTAAGCTAGCTGCTATTGGAATAATGTGCAGCTGGATGGGTTTACGCCACACTGGTTAGCTCAACCAAATGGACACACCCAACATGTCTCCTTTTAGCGAGGGTCGCTCAGCCTCAGCCCAGGGCTTAAAAGGCTGAGGCAGCCAGAGAGAAGAGTGGGGTTCCCACTAAAATATCATCCAAGAGGATGAAATTCATTCAAGTAGGGCTGATTTGGTGCCATAATGCTTTCATTCAGCCTGTTGAGGTCCAAGCACTGAACGAGTGATGGATCCTGAAGACACATCTCGTAAATAATAACGAGTAAAGGAATATGGGGAATCCCATGAAGCAGCCTGACAAATGTCTTCCATCGACACACCACTGTGGAGCACCATAGAAGAGGAAATCCCTCTGGCTGAGTGAGCCCCGAGTGTCTCAGGAGGATCCCGCCCTGAAGATGTGTAAGCGAGTGAAATGGCGTCACATAGCCAGTGTGAAAGACGCTGGGTCGACGCTTGCCCAAGGGAAGAGTCTCTGTAGTGCACAAACAGACTTTGTGAGCGGCGAATCCCTGAAGTGCGTGGCACATATCGTGCGAGTGCGTGCACCGGGCAGAGAAGGTGGGAAGTCGCCTCCTCATCAGATTTATGGGGAGGAGGAAAAAGTCCAGCCAATGAAATCGACCTGGATTTGAAGGAAGTATTCATGTTTTTTCGCACAAAGGCTGGGTTGAGGCATAAAGCAGCGGACCCGCCATCTTCCTGGATCCTGAGGCATGCGGGAGCCACTGAGAGGGCGGTTAGGTCGCTCACTCTCGACTGATGCCAGCGCCAACAGCAAGGCAGTTTTGAGTGGCAGGAACTTGAGTGAGACCTGGTCCAAGGGTTCAAATGGGGCTTCAGATAATCCGCGCAGAACCACGTTAGGTCCCACTGGGGAAATAGCGGGCGGGACACAGGTCTGTTCCTTCTGACACCTTTTAGAAAACGTTTTGTGAGGGGATGATTGAAAACAGATCTATCTCCAAAACCCTGGTGACAGGATGAGATAGCTGCAGCATATGTCTTAATAGTGCTGAATGCGAGACCTCTGTCCATCAGCATCTGCAGAAACGATAGGACATCCACCAGTTGGCAGGAGAGCGCTTGAACATTCCGTTCTGTGCACCATTTTTGGAAAGCTGCCCATTTAGCACCATAAGATGATACGGTAGAAGGCGCCCGCACACTCTGAATCGTGGCGACCACATCATGCCGCAGCCCAGAAGCCTCTAAGCACGACCGCTCAGCCGCCTGACCCACAGCCATTGGCCTATTTCTGGAGGATGTTTGATTATCCCACCCACCTGGAGAAGGGCGTCCGCGCTCCACGGGAGCCTCCACGGGGAGCCGGACACCAGCGCTTGCAGGTCTGGAAACCATGACGTGGACAAGCGTCTGGGAGCTACCAGAATTACCGAGAGTTGTTGCGACCGAACTCGGTCCAGGAGTCGGAGAATCATTGGGACTGGCGGAAACGCATATAGGAGCGTTTGAGGCCAGGGCTGGTGTGAGAAGGCATCCGCTCCAAGCGGGGGGTGGTCCCGGGGACGCAGGGAAAACCACAGGCGACACTGAGCGTTGTCGCGAGCCACGAACAGATCCACAGATGGTTCCCCGAACTTGGTCCAGATCTGTGATATCAGTGCGGGATGCAGACGCCAGTCGGAGTCGCTGGGTCCCCCTCTCGACAGGATGTCTGCTGCCACATTCAGGACACCCGGAATGTAGGTGGCTTTGATGGACAGCAGGTGGACACGTGCCCAACACAGTAAATCTGTGGCTACGCGCAATAGTGGGAGGGATCGAACTCCCCTCTGGCGATTTATGTAGGCTGCAGCCACCTGGTTGTCTGTGTGAACTTCGACATGACGGCCCTCGAGAAGGTCAGCGAAGTGTCTGATCACATTCCTCACTGTCATAAGCTCCAACACATTTATGTGCTCGTGCGTGTGGGAGGGCCAGCGATCTGCCACCGTATGGGACAAGCACGTGCCCCCCCCATCCCAACAGTGATGCATCCGTAAAAACAGATACATGTGACGTAGGACGTCCAATGAGGACCCCGTGTGAGAAGATGCAGGGATTCCCCCAGTGAGCGAGGTCCCCACCCACTGAAGGGGAGCCCTCAACATACGTCTCTTCTGACGTATCGGGTGTACCCGGAGGCGGATGAACCAATGCTGTAGGCGTCTTGTGTGCAGTAAACCTAACGGCACCACAGCGTGGGCTGCAGCCATCATGCCGAGAAGTTTCATGACTAACAGGGCTCTCACGATCCTGCGGGGTTGCAAGCGGGAGATCACCATGGTGAGATCTGCCGCTCTCGCTGGAGACAAACGTGCTCTCATAAGGGAGGCGTTCAGCTCCACCCTGAGAAACACAACTGGGATGGAAGGATGGAGCTCTTGTCCCAGTTTATGGAAAACCCCAGGGTTGACGGATGCTCTATTAACTTCCTGGTTTGCTCTGACACCTCGTCCTTGGACCGGGCGCATAGGAGCAGATCGTCCAGGTAAAATAAAACCCTCATTCCCGCCGTGCGCAATGGCTGCAGAGCGGTCTCCAGACGTTTGGAGAAGGTGCGCGGGGCTAG